AGAGAAATACCCGGGACTATGCGATCAAATAATGTAGCAAATTCATAATTTTACTTACGGTTCCATCAATACGACGAACCGATATTACAAGCAAATGAGCAAAGTATTGCGAGAGAAGAACGACGTTCTTTGGAACACAAACGAAAGACATCGGCATTGCAATACACGAAAAACGAAAGATATCGAAATAGCAATCGGAATTACGATTGCCTGATTACTGATACATATCGGTTATTGAATGAACAATTGCAAATGATTAGGTAAATTGATATTCTCATATTAATCACTGATATTCTGGGATGTTCAAATTCTAAATGATTTTCAATTTCAAAATCGCGCAAGAGAATAAGTGATTTCAGTGCAGATGATTGCCTTAAGACCCTTTCTAGATCATTTCGATTAATATGTAGCAGTGGTAATTTCGTTGAAGGTTGGTGCGATCGGTGCTGGCCCTAAATAGGCGTGTGATGCTCGTTGAAACGCATCTTTGATCAGCTCTAAGCATTCCTCACTTTTCACTGTCCTTGCCGTATTTTCATGATCGAACGGTCCCTCTATTTCCACTTTTGCGCTACAAACTTCGATGCATTAAAACATTTCCTATTTTAAAATATTCCGTGTTTCACAACTGCAATAAATCAGCCGTTTCACTGCTCGAATCGATTTGAAATCAGCGCTTTCATGCCGCCGATGAAATTCCACTGAATCAGATGTCATTTTGCATGCGTAACATTGCAAATTCAAATACTTTCACAGCTCGTTATATATGTAACAAAATTGAAAAATACATTAAAAACATTACTTACCCACGAAATGGTCTCTCTCTGTCTAAGACACGTGCTTGAGGCATTGATATTTTCTGGTTTTCAAAATCGAACCTGGCATAATAATCAAAAAACGCCATCAACAATTCAGCAACCGTTTTACAGTTCCGTCGACGATCTAAACATGTTTGTATCATTTACACTTCCTTTCCTTATATTCTGCGTTACGGACGTGGTTCTGATATGATACTACTGATATCTAAAGTATCGCTAGCCGACACTGTGAAAGAGTGCGAAACGCTATAAAATTTTGAGTTTTACTCCAAAAAAAAAAATCATTTTAACTCATAACGAACCATATAAATGACATCGCGAAATTTGGTTTCATTAGATAACAAATACGATTACTAATATTATACACGAAATCAGAAAGAATTACTGATAGCAAATACAGAATTACTGGTAACAAATAAGGCAAGCATCTACTGAAGATGAGCGAATGACCATAACAACAACAACAACGGCAATATTCATAACGAATGAACCAACCAGGTGGTAATTCAGGTGATCGGTCAAAAATTTGCAATTTTTCCAATGGAACATTATACTTAATACCGCCGAACCGATTCGGATCAATTTTGCGTAGATTCGGAAGGATCGGTGGCCATACAGCACATTGCAAGAAATGTAATACTAACATTTTTATCGAATAGCTGAAAGATGAATATTTGAAATCTCTTAATTTTCTATTCATAATTTATATTTAAGAATTAGCTATTTAGAATAGCTAATTCTTAACTATAAATTATGAATAGAAAATTTATGATTGTCCACTGCATCATTTTATCATGTATCTGCATTGTTATTATGCGAAATGTTTCAATTATCATAGGCATTCTATTTGGGGATAATTCTCTCATATTACCATTTACACAAATCCAAAAGGCAATCGTCTCAAAAATCATATAATTGACCGATTTATGTTCAACAATGAATTGACTAAATCAAAATGAAATGAAGCAAATAAGTCTCCGCATTCACCAGAGATAAGTCATTTTCTATGCGATAGAGCTAGTAACAATTGAAGGACATAACTGACACAAACTTATACTGCATGGATGCATCTTCTAAAATTATNTATGTTTTACAAATATTCAATAAATGTTTCAGAGTAGGGGGAAAATGAAGAATTAAGCACAATAACCTATTAAAGAATCCATTCATCGCATCACTTATGAAGGTCGCATCACTCCATCGTTTCACTACCATACATAAGATTGGGAAACGATTGTCTAATCTAAAAAACGAGAGACCAATCATTTGCCGAAATCTGTGCAGAATTTTTTGCAACCCAAAATCCCATGTTGAATTGATAGTGCGATCGATAAAAATGAATAACCTCGCATAGTGATGCAAAAGATATGAATTGTAGACACCAGCCAAATTATTACAATTGATATCCACTTCAATTTCACCGAGTTCATCCATCACTGTACACTTCAATATTGCTACCTAAGCGTTCAGGTAATTAATATCGAAACGTATAATTTCAGTTTGGTGGCTCTTTTAGATGCTACATCTCAAAACCTTCATGAGAATCTCTCTTGCAAAGGATGAACCCACCAAAAAGATCGAATCGACGGTAANAATGAAACAAAGAAAACTACCGTAGCAGGAATAAATTTAATGGAGGTTATGGAACATCGGCTGGTTTGAGAATTCTGGAGCGCCGACTCAAGTGTTGACAGAATATCTCTTTCATACCTTAACGAAATAGAACTGTATATTTCTGATAAAAATTGCAAATGAATGGTGTAGATAATGGGTTAAACAATGTGAAGCATTGAGGTCAGAAAAAAGAAATCATGCCAGTTAGGGAACGAGGCATAAATGTCGGTCAAATAACTGATGAATTATTGAAGTAGGGTTTTCAACGTGTTCGCTGGCAAATAACTGATAACACGTTGAAATAATCAAAACATTCAGTTATCGGACTTTTTCTGCAGCACAATTCAAAAAGAAACCGCTTTTCGGAATCAACTTCTCAAAATCGAAATACAACATTTGATCCAGTAAGAACGTTTCTCGTTCGCCCCGGATAGGAATTCTATGTTGCATTAATGAAAAAATAAACCACTGCGATATTAACATGCATTACAATCAAGGAATCAACTAACTGCCTGTCACGATCATATCCTAATTTCTTTCGATATATTGCAAGACACAAATCCAAATCACACGTTGATAAACCACACTGTGTGACCGTTGAACCCATCAGAAT